TAATTGTAACAGATTATATCACAGAATTACAGAAGTGTTACAGTGCAAAAGGAGGCTGTTTGGCCCATTGTGCTTTGTCTGGCTCATTCAGTGAACATTATTACCTAGTGCTAATCTCTTGTGTTTTTCCCCTACACTCTTGCATATTATTTTTATCCAATGCTCTATTGAATACTCAATTGAACCTGCCTCCACCACACTTGCAGGTACTGCATTCCACACTTGCTGATTGAACAGGATTTTCCTCTCTTCATGCTTGCTTCTTTGCTGATCACTTTAAATCTATGCCCTCTTCTTTTTCTTTTTTGAGTGAGAACAGTTTTTTCCCTATCTACTCTACCCAACCTGCTCCTGATTTTTAAAACCTCTATCAGATCTCCTATTAGCCTTCTCTCCAAGAACAGCAACCCTAAGTCTTCAATCTATTCTCATAGCTGAAGCTACTCATTCCTGGAACCATTCTTGTAAACTGTTTCTGCACTGTGTTCAATTCATTCACATTCTTTCTTCCCAGAACCGTACACAGTTCTCCAGCTGAGCTCTAGCAAGTATCTTATACCAGTTCAACATCACCTCCTTGTTCTCACACTCTGTGCCCCTATCAATAAAGTTGATGGTACTGCATGGTTTACTTACTGCTCTCTACCTGTCCTGCAACTTTCATTGATCTATGCAGGCATGCGTTTAGATCCCTCTGCTCCTGCACTCTCCCTTAGAACTTTAGTCTCTATTTGTTTTCCAATGTTCTTCCGACCAAAATACATCAACTCACACTTCTCTGCATTGGAACTAATCTGCCACCTATCTGCACACTCCAGTAACTTGTCTGCATCCTAAGGAGTTCTACACTGTCCTCCTGAGTTTAAAATTCTTCCAAGTTTTCCGTTACCTGCAAGTTTTGAAATTGTCCCCTGCATACCAAGATTCATGTCATTAATATATATCAGGTGAATCAAGGGTCTCAATACACAATCTTCCACTACAAATCTTCCTCTAGCCTGAAAAATCTATTGACCATTACATTTTTTTCTATTGCCCAGCCAATTTTGTACCTATGTTGCTACTGATCCTTTTTATTTAATGTCCCATCATTTTCCTCACAAATCTTTTGTATGGCACTGTATCCAATGTCTTTTGATGTGGCTTGATGTTGATGTTTTGTTCAACATTAACACATCTACTGCCTCCCAAAATCCTGTCTGATATCCATGAGGCACAATAATTGAATACTGTCCACTTGCCTGGATGGGAAGACCCTCATCAAGCCTTTCTGTTACCTCTTCAAAAAACTCTAACAAGTTGGTTAACATGATGTCCCCTTTAGAAATCCAAGCTGACTCTTCCTAATCAACCCACCATTTTCCATGCAACTTTTAATTTTATTGTGAATAATTCTAGAAGCTTCACCATCACTGCAGTTAAACTAACAGGTCTGTAATTGCTGGGTCTATCCTTATAAATGTTACAGTCATACAGCATGGAAATAGACCTTTGGGTTCAACTTGTATGCGCTGGCCAGACATTCTAATCTGACCGAAGCCCTTTTGCCAGCATTTGGCCCATATCCCTCTAAACCCTTCCTATTCATGTACTCATCCAGATGCCTTTTAAATGTTGTAATTGTACCCACCTCCACCACTTCCTCTGGCAGCTCATTCTATACATGCATCACCCTCTGCTTGGAAAATGTTGTCCCTTAGGTCCCTTTTTAAATCTTTCCCCTCTCACCTTAAACCTATGCCCTCCAGTTTTGGATCCCCCCACTGCTTGAAAATGACTTGGCTGTTCACCCTATCCACGCCCCTCATGATTTTATAAACATCTATAAGGTCACTCTTTGGCCTCTGCTCCAGGGAAAATAGCCCCAGCCTATTCAGTCTCTCCCTCAAGCCCTCCAGTCACAGAAGCGTCCTCATAAATCTTTTCTGCACCCTCACAAGTTTAACAACATCCTTCATATAGAAGGACAACCAGAATTGTATGCAGTATTCTAAAAATGGCCTCACCAGTGTTCTGTACACCAGCAACATGAATTGAATAGAATAGAATATCCTTTATTGTCACGTGTACTGAAGTACATGAGTACAATGAAAAGTTTAAAATGTCGCCCCCAAATGGGCACCATCTTTGATACAACATACCTAGGTACAGAACTTAGATACAAAATAGAGAAATAAAGGGAAAAAAGTCAGATTACTTTCTGTTATTCATAGTATAAATTAGAAAAAATGAGAAATAATGTTAAGATGATAAACGTTACAGCCTTTCTATAAAGGGCCTGCAGTAGATCAGTGCAGGAAGCTTACACATATGGTCTGTCTGGGCTTGCAAGACATTGACCCTATGCTCCGGTCCCCAGTCCAATAATCGTACCCGATCCTCACAGGCCTTCAGCCCGCTGGCTGTCCCTGCTCTGCTCATGAAATCACAACTCCTATACTCCATGATCTGCCCAATGAAGGCAAGCATGCCAAAAGCCGCCTTCACCAACCTGTGTACCTGTGACTCCACTTTCAAGGAGCTATGCATCTGCACTCCTAGGTCTCTTTGTTTGGCAACACTCCCCAGGGCCCAACCATTAATTGTAAAAGTCCTGCCCTGGTTTGCCTTACTAAAATGCAACTCTTCACATTTACCTAAATCAAAATCCATCTGCCACTCCTCGGCCCATTGGCCCATCTGATCAAAGTCCCATTGTACCCGGAGATAATCTTCACTGACAACTACACCAGCTATTTTGGTGTCATCCATGAATTTACTAACTGTACCTCCTATATTCACATCCAAATCATTTATATTAATGATGAAAAGTAGTGGATCCAGCATTAATCCTTGTGGCTCACTTCTGGTCACAGGCCTCCAGACTAAAAAGCAACCCTGTACCATCACCCTCTGTCTCCAACCTTCAAGCCAATTATGTATGCAATTGGCTAGATCCCCAGATCCTATGTGATCTAACCTTACTAATCGGTCTATCATGCAGCACCTTGTTGACTGCTTCGCTGAACTCCATAAAAACAACATCTACCGCTCTGCTTTCATCAATCTTCTTGAATAAGGCCATAATATATAAATTTTCCAATCTCAAGCACCTCTGCTGAGTCTTGGAAAAATTGCAATATTGTAGCCAGTGCTCCTATATACATGTATTCATTAGACAAAATTGATTTGCTACTGGAATTATTGCTCATATTTGGGGATGTGTTCATGTCCATTTAATGAATTGATTTTTTTTCATTCAAAACAAGTAAATATCTTTTAGAAATCACATTGTTACAAGGTCTGATAAGATGACTGAATCTACTTTTTTTAAAAAAAATCTGATAAATCTGTCCCAGCCACTTTCCTCCTTGGTTCACAGTTCCTAGACACCTAGACACAGATCCCTTCCAAGATGGCAGTGGCAGAGTAGGCAACATCTGGGCTCCAGTGCCCAGAGCTCATCCACTCCGTTTGCTTTTCTTTTTTTCTTCTCTTTCTTTTCTCTTCTTTTTTCATTTTTATTTTAGTGGAAGGCGGGATGAAGGCATCTTTGTTGGGGTCCGGAGCATAGTGATGGCTAGTGAGCCTAGAGCAGGACCTGGAGGACAATGAGGCAGTTGGTGAGTATGGAGTGGGACTCTGGAATTGGTGTTGAGAAGGCAGCTGGCAGAGGAGGAAGTACGGTGACCCGCTATTGCCTGTTACATCAGTGGAGGCCAGTGATTGGCTTCGGCATTGAGGTGATTTCAGCCCAGCATCCGGCGGCCCGGGAATCCTTTGGGCAGCTATTGCAACATCTTCCTTCCTGGGATTGGCAATGAGATTAATCTTTGAGGTGGCCTCTGTGGAGTCTTGCAGCCCAGATTCTAGTGGCCCGGTGTGGATGGACTGCTTAGAAGGTGGTTTCCAGCCTGGTATTCCAGCGGCCTGGCATGGCGGTCTTGCAACGGTACTGTCTTTTCCTGAAGCCAAGAGCCGGGAATTGACCTAAGATAGACTTTGTCTCAACTCTTTTTAAACTTTTTTTCTTATCTATGGCTTCTGTTATTACCACAGGCACCATGGTAGGCTGACTTAAACACTTTTCACTGTATTTTTGATGACAATAAATGACCATTCTATTCTAAAACATGTCGTAAACAGGCTGCATAGAAGCCAAGTATTTGATGTTAGTTGTGCATCCCTAGAATTCTATGGATATCTTGATGTTGAGGGCAGAGGTTCTTTTCTGTATAATTTGACAATTTGGAAGCATGTGGGAATATTTTGTTCACCCATATTCGAAGCATTTAGCTTACTTGTTAATAAACAAAGGCATAGTTAAACCCAAATGGCAGAATTACATTCATATTTGAACCTACAGAGGATTCTGGAAAGAGCTGTTTGCATTCAGAAATACCTAGTATGAAAAAATAGTTTGATTAGGGGCTAATAATATAGAAAATAATCAAGATAAATATATTATGATGCATGAGTATTAGAATAAGTCAAAAGGTGTATGATGAAGGTCTGAGAGGTAAAGAGGAAAATAGCAAAACATGGGTTGTATCTCAGAGGACAGAGGTGTGAAGAAGTAACTAAATTACTACTGCACTTCAGTTTTCACAGCAGAACATGATTATAAAAATCCACGGATACACGAGAAGTAGTGCACAAAATGTAGTGGGATAATCATTGCAGTTAAAACAGTTTAGACTGTAACAGATGTTGGACTCTGATGACATCCTTTCTGGAATGATGACAGAAATCAGTAGAAATATCTCTGACCACAATCTTGCAAATTTTCCAGAGTTTATACCATGGAATACATTTGATACTTACTCAGAGACATGGATTATTTTAAGACTACTACACAGGTTTGTAAATTTCACCATGTGTGGCAAAATTTAAAGAACCATTTCAGGAAATAATGCTGTATTGGTAAAAGAAATAAAGTAGATGGCAAACGTAGAAACTAGGAGCAGGAATAAGTCATTCAGCCCATTCTTTCTAATTCACCATTCAACATCAGTATGTACCTGTTTTGTTCTTAAATATATCGAGTGACTTCGCCTCCACGGCTTTCTGTGGTAGAGAATTCCACAGGTTCATTATCCTCTGAGTGAAGAAATCTCTTCTCGTCTCAGTCCAAAATGACCTGATACATTTCATGAGGATGTGACCTCTTGTTCTGTACCTGCAGTCAAAGGAAACATCATCCCTGTATTCAGTCTCGCTCTGTCAGAATTTTATTTGCTTCAATGAAATCCCGCCTCATTCTTCTGAACTCCAGTGAATAGAGGCCCAGGCAACCCAATCTTTCATCATAGGACAAACCTGCCATGCAAGGAACTAGTCTAGAGAGCCATTGTTGCACTCCCTCTGTGGCAGGTATATATTTTCTTAGGTAAGGAGATCAAAATTGCACATGATATACCGGGTGTGGTCTCACCAAGACCCAGCACAGCTCCAATACAGATTAACCTGCTCCTATACTCAAATCCTCATGCAATGAAGGTCATCATACCATTTGCCTTCCTAGCAGCTCAGTTCACCTGCATGCCTACTTTGCATGACTCAATTAAAAGGACACCCAGATATCTTTATAGATTAAAATTTCCTAATCTATCACCACTTAAGTAATACTCTGCCATTCTGTCTATATGTGGGTTTTTAGATGATGTGTCCCATTTTGGGCATCATAGGTTAGGTCAGGGTCAGTGATATTATGCCGACAACTGTTTTGTGGTATAACAGAAATTGAAGATAAAAGCTGATGGAGAAATTTACTATTAAAGGATTTTGAATAGGAAATATTATTTTGCTAGTTAGCAAGACAGTAGCTGGAGGTTACAGGTTTAAAATTTTCACCGACAGATGGAGAGAAATGTCAAAGAAGTTTTTATTGTAATACAGTAGCTTGATCAGATCATGGAATGAATGTTTTATAAGAAACAATGTTGAAGGCAGAATCCATAATAGATTCTAAAAGGGAAATATACATGAAATTTAAACTCACAACAGCAAAGAATCCATTGGTACATCTTGTTCTATGTGTAGTTACAGTGCCTTATGATTCATAATACAGACACTTGAGTCAATCATGTGATCTATTAGATGAGAAAGTAAATAAAATCCCAAGCTAATTAGGGAAACAAAGTCTAGAAATATCCTCTTTGACCACTTCAAATGATTGAAATTAGTGAGGGATCACACCAATCCTAGCTTAGATCAGAGGGAGTATCTACACCTCCATTTGATGCAGGCCTCTACTTTTGCTTGAAAGACAACAGCAAATCGGTGTTCACCACAAAAGCTTGTAGCCTGTTCTACAGGTACACTATATTCGCTGGTAAGGAGGAATGTTTCTAATATTAAATTTAGTTCTGCTCATACATCATATGTAAGCGTGCCTTTCCTCACCTATCCAGTTGAAATGCAAGTAAGCTGGTTCACATAAACATAATCTAGTCCATTCATTATTTTATAAACCTTTGTCAAATTGCCTGGTTCTGTGCTTTTCTGAAAGTTGCAGTTTCAGCTGTCTGAGCGTATCTGAGTAACTAAGCTGTTTCAAAGAGGGAATTAATCTTCTAGCCCTCCTTTGAACTCATTTCAAAGTCTGAATATCCCCCGTATGATAGTAAAACAAATCCAAGAAGGCCTAACCTTAATTTTTGAAGAAAAATAAAATGGTATGATTTTTGTTTTGTAGTAAATTGTCTCGTGAATGTGTCCTGGAATCCTGTTTGCTTTTGCTATAGCATCGCAGCATTGATTGTGAACCTTTATAGAGTGGATTAATGCAACAACCAAATTTTCCTTAGAGCACCAGTTTCAATCTTGTTCCTTTTATACATTGTACATACCGTTATCACTTTGACCTGTCTGCATGGAAAGCTTTTAAATTTAAGCTTGATTTGCTAAACATGGGCCCTTTCCTACCAACATATCTAGATCTGTTTTGCATAGTCCAGCATTTCCTGCACACCAAGCCTTCCAAATGACTTGGCAGAATCTGCAAAATTGCATTTTATCCCCTAACGCTTGTACTGTAGGTTATTAATGCAGGACATTTGTCATAATAGGTTTTCAAGTAGATATCAGTTTATTGATAAATTAACAACTTTCCACCTATAGGCATTCAGCCATTCCCTATCAGAAGATTATCATGAATTTTGCAAAATTATAAACTTTAGTAAAGCCCTTTGAAAGGTAACTTTTTCATTAATCAATTTTTTTTTGCATTTGTTCATGGAATGTGGACATTGTGGCAAGGCCTTCATACATTTACCCATCCCTAATTGCTTTTGTGAAGATGAAGCTGAGTGTTTTCTTCAACCACTACAGTTCACACCTACAGTGCTATTGGGATGTCTTTTTAGCTCAATGACAGTGAAGGAGTGACAAGACTATACTCAGGATAGTGTGTAACATGAGGGAAATTTGCAGTAGTGGTGTTTTGATGCACCTGCTGCCCTGAATTTTCCAGGAGGTGAATGTTGCAGATTTGGAACATGAAGGTGCTTTGAAGGAGTCATGAGACTTGATATAGTGTATTTTATAGGTGATACACGCTACTGCCACTAGGCACTTGTAAGGAACGATTATCTAAGGTGGTAGATGTTTTCTCTAGTGATACAAGCAAACAGGCCTAGTTAGCCAGTTGAGGGCAATTGGGGATGGGCAATAAATATTGGCCCAGTTGGTGACACCCACATTCCACGAACAATTAAAAATGTTCTGCCAGTCCAAGTGAGACTTTGGTGAACTATCAAAGATGCAAACAAGAATCTCATGTTGCACCAGTACCACTACTTTAAGGACCGTTAGTTGAAAATAAAACAGGAAAAAGATTTTTGGAAAGGGCATCAAAATGGGAAAAATTGGATGCGTCAATGTAGGTACAGCGAGAGCCCAAATTGTTTTAGCCACTTTGGTTCCATTTGAACATTTAGAATCTCTAAAATATAATTTGATTTATTTTAAACAGAAATCAACCATCAAAGTTGTTGTTGAGCAGGATACAATGGGGAACAATGAACTACCCTATTAAGTTCACGCTCAATAAAAGCATTCTTGCTTCAGTTCTGACAGAGTTCTGAAATAAACTTAATTTCCACTTTTGTTCGTTACTACTTTGGGCAAGTGATCATAATTCTATTAGTTTTAAAATAGTTATGGGAAAGGATAGACCTGATCTACAAGTTAAAGTTATAAATTGGAGGAAGGCCCATTTTGACAGTGTTAGGCAAGAGCCTTCAGACATTGATTGGGGGCAGATGTTCACAGGTAAAGGGATGGCTGGAAAGTGGGAAACCGTCAAAAATGAGATAATGTGAGTCCAGAGATGGAATGTTCCTGTTAGGTTGAAGGGCAAGGCTGGTAGGTGTAAGGAATGCTGTATGACTAGAGAAATGGAGGTTCTGGTCAAGAAAAAGAAGGAAGTATATGTCAGGTATAGACAGCAGGGATTGAGTGAATCCCTAGAGGAGTATAAAGACAGTAGAAGTATACTTAAGAGGGAAATCAGGAGGGTCAAAAGTGGACATGAGATAGCTTTGGCAAATGGGGTTAGCAAGAATCCATTGGGTTGCTACTTTAGGGACAAAAGAGTAACTAGGGAGAGAATAGGGCCCCTTAAAGATCAATAAGGCTGCCTGTGTGTAGAACCACAGGATGGGTGAGATACTAAATGAGTATTTTGCATCATTGTTCACTGTGGAGAAGGATATGGAAGCTGGAGAACTTGGGGAAATAAACAGCAATATCTTGAAAAGTGTCCATAATACAGACGAGGAAATGCTGGATACCTTAAAATGCATAAAGGTGGGACTGGATCAGGTGTATCCTAGAATTCTGTGGAAAGCCAGGGAAGTGATTGCTGTGCCCCTTGCTGAGATATTTGTAACATTGATAGCCACAGGTAACGTGTGGTAGACTGGAGGTTGGCTAAGAAAGTTGGTATTTAAGAAAGTTGGTAAGGAAAAACTAGGGAAATGCAGACTGGTGAGCCCAACATCAGTGGTGGGCAAGTTGTTGGAGGAGATTTTGAGGGACAGGATTTACATGTATTTCGAAAGATAAAGAGGGATTAGGGATATCCAACACGCCTTTATGTGTGGGAAATCATGTGTCACAATCTTAATTAAGTTTTTTGTCACTTCTTCAAAGAAGATTGATGAAGGCAGAATGGTGAACATTGTCTATCTGGACTTCCATAAGGCATTTGACAATGTTCTGCATAGTAGACTGGTTAACAAGGTTAAAGCACATGGAATACAGTGAGAAGTAGCCATTTTGATACAAAATTGGCTGAAAGGTAGGAGACCAAGGGTGGTTGTGGAGGATTGCTTTTTGGACTGGAGGCCTGTGACCAGTGGTGTGCCACAAGGATCAGTGCAGGATCCATTGCTTTTTGTCATTTATATTAATGATTTGAATGTGAACATAAGAGGTATGGTTAGTAAGTTTGCAGACACCAAATTGGAGGTGTAGTGGACGGTGAAGAAGTGCAGTGGGATCTTGATCAGATGGGCCAAGGGACCAAGGATTGGCAGATGGAGTTTAAACTAGATAAATGTGAAGTGCTACATTTTGGAAAGGCAAATCAGGGCAGGACTTGTACACTTAATAGTCAGGTCCTAGGGAGTGTTGCCAAACAAAGAGACCTTGGAGTGCAGGTTCATAGTTCCTTGAAGGTGGAGTCGCAGGTTGACGGGATAGTGAAGAAGGCATTTAGTACACTTGCCTTTATTGGTCAGTGCATTGTGTACAGGAGTTGGGAAGTCATGTTGTGGCTGTAGAGGACATTGGTTAGGCTACTTTTAGAATACTGTGTTCAGTTCTGGTCTCCCTGCTATAAGAAAGCTGTTGTTAAATTTGCAAGGGTTCAGAAAAGATTTACAAGGTGTTGCCAGGGTTGGAGGGTTTGAGCTATATGGAGAGGCTGGTTAAGCTGGGGCTGTTTTCCCTGGAGTGTTGGAGGCTGAGGACTGACATTTATAGAAGTTTGTAAAATCATGAGGGGCATGGATATGGTGAATAGACAAGGTCTTTCCACCAGGATAGGGGAGACCAAAACTAGAAGGCATAGTTTAAGGTGAGATTTAAAAAGGACCTAAGGGGCAACTTTTTTGTGCAGTGGATGGTGCGTGTATGGAATGAACTGCCAGAGTAAGTGGTGGAGGCTGGTATTATTATAACAGTTAAAAGGCATCTGGATAGTTACATGAATAGGAAGGATTTAAAGGGATATGGGCCAAATGCTGGCAAATGAAGCTAGATTAATTTCAAGTATCTGGTCGGGCATCGATGAGTTGGACTGAAGGGTCTGTTTCAGTGCTGTGCACCTCTATGACTCTATCCTGCAGGTTTCCCCCGGAAACAGCAGTCCATTTTTCCCACTATTGTCATTTCACTATTGAATGCTCAGGAGATGCAAACTGGTGCACCAAAAGTTCTGCTGGGGGGAAATTATATGCCCTTCCTATACATTGGCAGTATTTTTCCATGCCAGTTTTCTCCTAGCCTTCTTCAGAAGCTGTTGACTTTTACTCGGGATACAGTTCCAGAGCGTCTCACAACAGCCTATTGTTAATGTGTGGAGAATGGACATTGAGTGAATACTGGCATATACTTTGAATAAAAGGACTCTTGGCCTAACCCTTTCCTTGCTCTTCATCCGTACACGCGCACTTTGCTGGAGTGGGAACTCTGATTCATTGCCTTCGTTTCTTTCTGTACAATTAGTTTGAGCCCAACATCTGATTTACCTTTTTAGTCGCTACTGTCAGAACTAATTATCTTTAATTTCTTTTAATTATTTTATATTTCCATTGTGTCGTCCCTAAATCAGTGCTGAGTGTAATACATCTTTTCCTTGTAGGGGCGTTTAAATAGTCTCGTCATTCTGGTATTTTCGGATGGGAACAGTGAGATGGGCACAAACTGTACTTAATCTGAGATTAGGGAATGAAGAAAAAATAGTATACGTTGATGCATTCTTTTTTATTTACGTCTGCGAAATATATAAATAAATGTTTGCCCCAAGTTTTCTGCATCACATTGAGATATTTCCTATTTAGAAGTTATAATTAATTCATTTTGAGACACTAGCTTTCTAGAATTTATCTGAATAGAGTTAAATTGTTTCTAAAAACACGAAAGAACTGCGGATGCTGTAAATCAGGAACAAAAACATAAGTTGCTGGAAAAGCTCAGCTGGTCTGGCAGCACCTGTGAATTAAAATCAGAGTTAACATTTCGTGTCCGGGAAGGGTCACAGATGCTGCCAGACTGGCTGAGTTTTTCCTGCAACTTCTGTTTTTGTTCAAGAGTTAAATGATGTGTTGTTCGATGGCTTGTATTTTAAAGGTCGCCGTAGTGGGGACAAGATCCTAATAAGCTTTAGCAACACGGTACGAAAAGAGCGTTTTGTTACTCCACAGTGCGTGTGTCTGTGTATAACATAGGGGTATTGCTCATTTTAGTTTAAAATTTTCTTGTTAAGTTTTCCAAATGGTGAATGTGGATCCAGCTCCGTTCTCAACTGGAGTTCCACTCTGCATTTTAATTTGCATTTGGTTTAAGTAAAGTCCGCACAGAGTTGAACTAATTCACGGCTTACGTTTGTATCTGATTAGAAATTGTATTCCGCAGTTTAGGTGCGATACAAGCGAGTGCAATGACATTGAAAGCCCCGGGTTAGAGCATCTGTTTGTGCAGTGAAAGCTTTTACTCCTCATGGTCAAGAAACCTTTTAACATTTCAATGGTATGTGAACTAAATCAACGCTCTTTAACAAACGTGCAGCTGATTTTGTTAAAGGAGCAGCTACAGCTGCGGTCAGAGTTTTGTGCAGTTTAGTTGTACTTTTTGTACCTCGTTTTGCAATGAAATAGCGATAACTCGATCGAGTCTCGTCCTCCCCGCCCCCGCACACCAAGCGCCTATTTATTGTTCTTTGTTCGTGTATGCAACATGAACATCGTGCATTCTTCAAGAAAGAAAGCAAAGGGGCTTTCAACGTTTTGTTTTAAGCTGTTGTAGCGTGTTGTATCGTTCTTGTCGAGTGCCTTCCATTGCTTGTTTCCTGCGTCCGTTTGGAAACAGGCGTTTCGATCTTGATAATAAGCTTGAGATTGGCGCTGTATACATATCGCAGTGAAGCGGTCGGGTCGAGGAAGTGGCACTAGCTGGTGGGGGATGGGAGCTTTCGCCATCTTTGTCTTGTGAAGTTGCTGCGGCTGGGGTTTCTGCTGGAGGCAGCAGCACTGAGACAGGTGGCGCACTTCGCGCAGCCGCTATCGCCAATTACATTCCCGAAAAAAAGACACAGGGATTTAATCCCATTGAATAATTAAAAACCCCGAAATGTCTATCCAGTTACACCAATTTCATTATCGGCGGTGACTTTATATATAGCTTAAAATATGTAACCGTGGACACGGATTCCTTTAGTTGCATCGAAAACTAAGATATTGAACAAAGAATGTAGACATCGACCTTTTATTGGTAACGTTTACTGTCAGGAACAGGTAACAAAACAGCGAGCTGTGGCTGTTACCTCTTTTTAAAAAGCGAAGTTTCCTTTGGGGAGGGGGGAATTACAGAAATCAGCTGACGTTAGTCATATTTGTAGGGTTGTTCATTTCGAAAGAAGGATGCGGTTCCCTGAACTAGGATGTGAAACGAGAGGTTAGCGATATGTTCTTCAGAGTGAGGTGTTATTAACCGTCTCTGGGAGAAACCAACTAAAACAGAAGAATATCGGGAGCGGTGATGGAAATTGTGCAGCACGTACTGCGCTACACATCACACAGAGAGAGAGAGGTCAGCAGCTCAAGGCTATGAGGCGAGTGATTAAAGAGCCCGAACTCGACACAGAGTACCGATCCCCAGGAAAGGAAAGCGTCGTGCAGTCGCTACACGCTGACACAAATTGCTATGAAAGAACACCTCCAACTGATTGTGAATAATTGCTACATTAAACAATGCGGGAGCACAAATGAGCAATTCATTCATTGTAACGAATCTTACCCAGCACATGTCTTGGGGGCGGGGGGAGAAATTGGTAAAGGGGTCGGTAAGGTGACTCCCACCTCTCCTCTTCTTCCTTGTTATCTGGGCATGGAGCTTTCTTGATGCTGGGAATGCAACCTTTTGCATCTCATGACCAAGATAACTCGGACTGGTGGGGTATGGAATATCTCAAACAGTGCAGTAGATGAAAACATTATTTGCAGACAATTTGTGCAATTTTTAATCTAACCGCCCCACCCCCTCCCGGACTCCCCTGCTATCGGTAAAGAGGAACTTTATAAGTATTATCAGCTACTCTCAGTCATAAGGTCACAGCTGTAGCTTGCAGACTTCGTGCCCTGTATGAATGTTCAGAGCGATTCCTTATCCAATGTTTTTTCTTCCCAAAGTTATCGCAGACAGTATTCTCACCGTTTAAACAAACACCCGCTCTCAAACTCTGCATGTTTGATCTGTAGCGGACTGCGAAAAGAAACCTTGGCCAAAAAATGTGTTCTGTGGCGGGGGGGGGGGGGGGTGGAAGATCTGACGAAGTGCTGAGCAGGCTGAAGTATGTTCTGCATTAATAACTGAGCTTCCTCGTGGTTGCGTCCAAAGCGCTGGCTTCTAAATGAGAACAGTCAAAACTCTCAACGCCCTGTTTCCGCCCAGTTTCGGAGAAACAGAGCGGATTCTGCTTATACGGGCCGCGGAGAGAGAAGCAGCTGCTGCGAGCTGTTAGTGCGGGTGTGAGAGAGATTGCTTCTACATGACTGAGAGTTTGCGGGGGAGTCATGTGTAACTGTGACTCCGACAAGCGGCGTGTAATGGAGGGAATGTGTTTGGTTGCGAGGGAGGCTGTGGGCGTGTGTGTCTGTGTAAGAGTCTATGCGTATGTTTGAGACTGTGAGAATGTGTTGGGGGCGGGGGCAGTGTGACGGACACAGTGAGGAAAAGGGCACCGGAGTATTTGTCTGGTGTAAGGAAAGAAGAGACGTGTGAAGGAGATATGCGAGTGTGAAGAATACGTGTGTGTGTGTGACTAAGACTAAGGGGGTGTGTGTGTGAGAGAGAGAGGAAATAAAGTGAGAGAATGTGGCTTTCCGAAACTCGGAGCGCTTGCCTGCTGGAGGATGGATCCGGCAGTATCAGGGTATTTCGATCTGTATGTAATTACCAGAATTACTGAGACGGTGGTTTGCACAACTCTGTGTGTGTGTGTGTGTGTGTGTGTGTGAGAGAGAGAGAGAGAGACTTGCTGTTTGGGGAGTTGGCGGGGAAGGGTGAGCTGGGGATTCACTGCAGGGCAGTGTGTGTCATTCTGCAGGTAAATGTGAATATTTCCATCTAACTGTGTCTTGTTAGCCGATTGTGTGCAATGAGGCGGTATACCGTGTGTTGGGCATGTGTGAACAGTGAGCGTGTGCCGGGGGTACAGGGTGAGTGTGCACTGTGATGTTTACGGTGAGTGTACAGGGTGAGTGTGTACTGAGAGGTTTGCAATGAGGGTGAGCGCTGGGGGAGTATGGTGAGTGTGTGCGCTGGGGGGACAGCAGTGAGTGTGCTGGGGGGCTGCGGTGAGTGTGCTGGGGGAGTATGGTGAGAGTGCAATGAGGGTACCGCAAGTGTGCGCTGAGGGAGTGTGGTGAGTGTGCACTGGGGGAGTGTGGTGAGTATGCATTGGGGGACTGCGGTGAGTGTACTGGGGGACTGCAGTGAGTGTGCGCTGAGGGAGTATGGTGAGAGTGTGCAGTGAGTGTACGGCAAGTGTGGTGAGTGTGCACTGGGGGACTATGGTGAGAGTGTGCAGTGATGGTATGGCGAGTGTGCGCTGGGGGAGTGTGGTGAGTGTGCACTGGGGGACTGTGGTCAGTGTGCACTGGGGGAGTGTGGTGAGTGTGCGCTGAGGGACTGCGGTGAGTGTGTGCTGGGGGACTGCAGTGAGAGTGTGCTGAGGGAGTATGGTGAGAGTGTGCAGTGAGTGTGCGCTGGGGGAGTACTGTGAGTGTGTGCTGGGGGAGTATGGTGAGTGTGCACTGAAGGGACTGCAGTGAGTGTGTGCTGGGGGAGTATGGTGAGTGTGCACTGAGGGGAGGGGCTTGTGTGTGTGCTGAGGGGGTGTGGTGTGGGGGTTGGGGTGTGTGTACGGGGGGATGCGGTGTGGGGGTGGGGTTGTTTGTACTAGGGGGTTGCGGTGTCAGGGTAGGGTTGTGTGTGCTGGGGAGGTGCGGTGTGGGGTTGGGGGTGTGTGTGCTGGGGGTGCGGTGTGGAATTGAGGTTGTGTGTGCTGGGGGTGTGGTGTGGGGGTGGGGGTGTGTGTGCTGAGGATGCGGTGTGGGGTTGGGGGTGGGTGCTGGGGGTGTGGTGTGCGGTTGGGGTTGTGTGTGCTGGGGGGGTGCGGTGTGGAGTTGAGGTGTGTGCTGGGGGTGCAGTGTGGGGTTGGGGGTGTGTGTGCTGAGGGGGTGCGGTGTAGGGGTGGGTGTGTGTGTGTGCTGGGGGTGCGGTGTAGGGGTGGGGTGTGTGTGTGCTGGGGTTGCGGTGTGGGGTTGGGGGTGGGTGCTGGGTGTGCAGTGTGGGGGTGGTGGTGTGTGTGCTGGGAGGGTGGGGTTGGGGGTGGGTGCTGGGGTTGTGGTGTGGGGTTGGGGTTGTGTGTGCTGGGGGGGGTGCGGTGTGGAGTTGAGGTTGTGTGTGCTGGGAGGGTGCGGTGTGGGGTTGGAGGTTGGGTTGGGGGATGTGTGTGTTGGGGGTGTGGTGTGTGGTTGAGAATGTGTGGAGTGGGGGTGTGTGTTTGGTGAGGGGGAGTGGTGTGGGGCTAGGTGTGTTGGACGGTGCGGCGTGAGGGTAGGGGTGTGTGTGCTGTGGGTGGAGTGTGAGCTGGGGTGGGTGTATGTGTTTGGGTAGTGTGGTGTTGCGGGGGGGGGGGTGTGTGCTGGGG